GCCAGGATTGGCCCATGCACCAACAGGCTCTGGCAGAAGTGGCTACTGTGCCACTTCTCAGATGATGCCATAAGATGTGCAGGTTCAATGTTGGGTCTCAGGAATCTCTCTCTCTGGGAACACTTGTTCTTTGCTGAGCCAGCACATGCAGAAGGCCACCATGGCCTGAGAAGTCACATGGGTGAACAGATTCTCCTTGTGGAGTCCATCCTTGATGTGACTATTGGCTGTGGCAACAGCTCAAATGCTGCCTCATGAGACCCTAAGCCCGAGCTCAGCACAGCTGCTCCTAGAGTCCTAATCCTGAGCATCTATGGGATACAATCAGTGCTGTTTTCAGCTGCTAAATTAAGGGTGGTTTGCTGTGTAGCAATAGGTAACTAGGTTGTCTTTCTCCCAGGCAAAAATACAGCTTTGTTTACACTCTGGCTGCTCACGCTGGAGCTCCAGTTGTTGCAATTCTCTCAAACCCTGCTGGTCAGCTTTTACTCAGTAAGATGTGGCCATCCTCCTTCTGGGATTTATTATACACTTCAGTCATTCACTCAGCAAACCGTGAATGCTAATACTTGATAGGCCCCGAAAAGAAATATCAGGGCAATAAGATCCACTTTGAGGAGCTTGACCTCATAAAGAATTTCACAGTTATGGGATGATGGTGTATAAAAGAAAATGGCTGGGGAATAATGGAAGTAGAGGCTATAGAGAGGAGGGAAAAGAGTTGGGAAGAGTGCTTGAGTTCATGAAGTGTGGTGAGAATGAGCTGTACAGGTGGACAGGAAAACTCAGGAAATGGAACTTGTTGCAAATTAGGTTCTGTGGATACAGATGGGAAGCAGGATATATTTTTAACTTTGCATGCTTGGTGCCCACAGAGGCCAGAAGATAAGCCACCATATGGGTGATGGCAATGGAACCCAGGTCCTCTGGAAGAACAGCCAGTGCTTTTAACCACTGAGTCATCTTCCCAACTTTTTTTTTTTCTTTTTCTTTTTGAGACACCGCCTCCTTTTGAACCTGCAGGCCACTCTTTCAGCTCGAGCAACTGGCCAACAGATCCTGGGGATCCTCTTGTCTTCATTCTTTCCAGGGCTGGGGTTACAGGAATGTGTCACTGCATCCAACTTCTACATGGGTGCTGGATCCAAATTAAGTCAGCATGCTTCACAGTGTCCACTGTGCTTGCCAAGCTATCTCCCCACCCCTCACACTCTGCTCTCAAACATCTGACTATGGCAGTAGGGAAAAGACAATGAAGGGCAGTGACCAAGAAAGCAAAGACTAGACCAGTAAAAAGGTCAGTGAAATATTTCAGAAGTGAACCTGTAAGAGTGACACTGGAAATGGGTTTAGAAGATTTAAAAACTTTAAGAGTGAGAAAGCTAAAGGTCATGCACCTTAGAGAAATTATATCATCTAATTTATCAATCATATGAACCACTCATTATGCCCTGTGGTAACCAATCTCCCCTTGAACTCCAGAAAAGGAAGACTCAAACAATAACTGAGGCCCTTGAGCATCTTCATGTGTGTGAATATCATTCCACTGAAGTGTATTCTGACCTTTTCTGATGCTCTACTTCAACACTTCCTTGCTACTTTTGGAAATCAGTGTGGATTTTTATTACAACTGCTTGAATAAGAAGTCAAGAACCTAGAAATAGCTGATCCTGACCCAGAGTACCAGGAACAATATGAATGCACACAAGGGTAAAAAGTCCCTGTGGGGAGTTGGACAGTATCGACTTAGGACTACCGGAGAAAACAGCAGTGTTGTCGGCTCTGTTGAGGTCCCTTCTGAGGGTTGAAATAACCAGGATGAAATGGGCAAATGAGCACAGTTGTAGAATGATCTCTAACAACATTCAGCTCCTCGGCGGAAGCACAATGAAGAAGATAGCAGGGTTCTGGCCGAGGGCTGCATTAGGCCCAGGGTGTCTGTAAATTAAGTCAGTCTTAATTACCTTAAGTAACATTTTTTTTAACTGTTACTTATTTTAGTTATTTGTGCACACGTGTGCATGTATGTATGTGGACATGACACCTGTCAGAGAACAACTTGCAGGAGTTGGTTCTGTCTTAACATGTGGGTCCTGGGGACCAAACTCAGGTGTCAGGCTTGGCAGGGAACACTTCACTGAGCCATCTCACTGGCTCCCTAAGTATCGAATGCTTTGAAGAACTGGATCTGGAAGCCAGACCAAAGTGGGTTTCACTCATTTCATTTAGAAGTAAATGAAATTTGCAGGCATAAAATTCTAAAGATTCTTTCAGTAATGTTGCTGTGGCCAGGAGTCCTAGATAAGAAAACAGATGGAAAAACTGGTCAATAAGAACAATTTCCTATCATATGTAGTAGTGGTCATCATTTTTTAGACAATATGACAAAATGCCTGAGATAACTATCATGAGAACGGTTTATTTTGGCTTATAGTTTTATAGGCTCCAGTCCATGATCAGTTGGGTCTATTACTTTTAGGCCTCTGGTGGGGTGCAGGATGTTAATGATAAAGGTACATGGTGGCACAAAAGGCTCTCCTAATGGCCAGGAAGCAAAAGAAAAAGAGGGTACATAGGGTATTTCATGCCTTTTGGGGCCACATGCTCATTGGTATATGGATCTCTCAATAGTCTCCATCCTGTATAGGTGCTTCTACTTCTAAATGGTACCAATCTAAAGAGAGGATACACCATTCATCACAGAGGCCTTTGGGGACATTCAAGATCCAAATGACAGCATATACTAAGAGGCAGAAGTAGAAGATAAGAAGAGATGGAAGGCATAGGAGATCTATGGACTAATAAATAAGTTCTCTTCTGCTAGGGAAGAGAAACTGAGAGTGGGAACAAAAGGATGTAATTGTCTTAAACAAGAGGAAGAACGAAGGTACAGGTATATATATGACCAACTATCAACAATAGGAATTGCCAACATTTGTTGAGTGCTTATTCTGTGTCAGGCACTACTGTTAAAGCTGTATGGACCATTTTATCCTTATACCAACTCTTTTATACTAAAAGATTAACTTGTCTAAGATTACCAGTTAACTAACAGCAGGGCCAGGATTTGAATCCAGGCAATGTGGCTATACATTCCTACTCCTTTACTTTTAAATGACACTGTAGCTGGAAAGAGGAAGAAGCTGAAGTTGAAAAGTTTGTATCTAACAGCTTTCCCTATCATTGCAACTTCCCAGGCCACAGGCTTGGGCCCAAGATGAGGAGAGATTAAAGGTCTTGGAATAGTTACCTTAAGCAGCATAAAAAGTAGTCCTCAAAGGGAAAGCACGTGGGCAGGACATTATAGTGTATACAGATTCACTGATTCATATACCTGACCTATCGTTTTTTCTTAAGAGTTCTCAGCAGCTTCGGGAAGAGAAACTCAAGGCACTAGGTACCCTATAGTGTAAAGCAGACTCTGATAGAAGGTATGTAGAGGCAACAATAGGTATGAGAAAGAAAAATGTGTAATGAACAGATCCAGGGATTGATCAGGGCAGATATTATATGGCCAGGGGGATGGGCTGAGAGTAAAGGGAGGTGAAACTTGGTGGAATGCCAAGAACAAAAAAGACAGAAGGCAGAGATTTAGATGGCCTTTGTAGTACTAGATGGATGTAGTATTAGCACAGAATGAACAACCAGGGTCGCTGCTAGATCTTAGACTAAGTCATGTTCCCCTGCAACTGCCTCTACCTCAGCCTCCTCGTTACTAGCAGGCACCTCTGTCAAGTACACTCCCTTTCCTCAGTCTAGGGAGTCAGAGGCAAACTGACTGTAAACACCAGCTACTCATTAACTACATGGGTCTTCTAGGTACTCACAAAGTCTTTCACAAACACTATCTGAAACTACCTTCCTCTTCTGCATTCCAAAAATACCTTCAGCTTCATAACTCTTGGATCACAGCTTATTTTGCTGACCTGGCACAATACTTATAATGGAAAAAATTCTGTATTTCTATGATAGCTTTCACCAAGATTTACTAATTAGGGGACATATGTCAATACATCTTAGCAAAGATTCTAATATAATGTTTTTCATTTCCTCATTTTCCATATATACACCTGCCTAGGGATAACCGCCAGTGACCAGTATCCTACATGCAAGATCTCTCTCAGTATTGCCTAACTTCAAGATTTTCTTTACGAACTTGGGAAAAGCCACTTACTCAAAGACAATAATGGTTCACAGATGCTCAGCACTAAAACTTTCCTGTGTTTTATTTTTAATTGAGACCTTCAGCCCGAAGGAAGGCTGAAGAAAGCCTTTCTGCAGGGCTTATCACACCACATCGGAACTGTTTATTTTTCTTTTAGTTCTCTTGTTCACCATTTTCTTAGCACGTAGAAGGCATTCCATAAGACTGCGACTGAAAGAAAAACCCATGCACCCCGAGGGTCCATTCTCCTTCAAGAATCATTTCCATGATCTCCCACCTCGTAATGTCACGTAAGGCAGGCAAAGACAACTGCCCAAAACGGTGCTGTCTTCACCACACCGGTACAGTTCCGGTGGCGCAGCTCTAACTTGGGTAGGGAGGAACCTCGGACTGGCGCAGACATGGCTAGGGGTCAGCACCTCGCGCCGTGAACCCACCCGCGTGCCGTAGACCGCTGTCCTTACCTGCGTGGCACATGGCCGCGAGCAACAGTTTCCTTGAGCTTGACAGACAGACATAGTTCTAGCTCCGCTCGGCTCTCGGCCCGCGCTCTTTCCAGGCCGAAGCAGCCCGCAAGAACCCTGTTAGGAGACTGAGCGGGCAGCCTGGGGGCGGAGCGAAAGTGGGAGGCGGGGTCTGAGAACGTTTCGCTCATTGGGAGAGCGCGCGGCGGCGCTGGCCGACAGGTGGGCGTGTCCAGGAGGGCTGGAGGCGGTGCTAGAGGGGCACGTCCTCAAATCCTTAGGAGCGGAGCGCGCCTTGTGGGCGGAGCCAACCTGTAGAGGGCGGGGGCCTGGGCCGTCCTTCAGGCCGCCGCTCTAGCGGTGATATGCGCTTTCCGGGAGAAAGCCGGGAAGATGGCGGCCTCCTGGAGGCTTCGCTGTGACCTGCCGCTGCTACGTTACCTCCTGGGCTTCGGCAGCCGTCAAAGCCTGGGGCTGGCCAAGGGTGCTGCTGCGTGGCCTGTCGGCCGTGGAGCCAGCTGGAGGTGGTTTCACGGCACTCAGCTGCTGCAGGGTGAGTGGCTTGCGCTCTCAGCTTCTCTCTAGCTGAGCGACGGGCCTGGATCAGGGGCGTTCTTGATTGGGGACCCGCGTTTGTGAGTGTAGGTGCCGAGTCGCCCTGTTCCATTCAACCTCCCCCAGGAACGGGCCTGCTGACTTAGCCCATGGATTGTGGCAAAGGACCATCTTCAGACTTGGGAGAGCTTCCCTCGATCCCCGGCCTCCAGAGCTTTGAATGGCTTCTCTGTGACCTTGCTTTGGTTTGAGTTATTTCGATGCCACCTAGAGAGGGTCTGTTTTAAATCCCATTTTAGACCCGTAATAATTGCGTGTCGAATTCCTTTAGTTTTATCATTCATCTCTAATAAAGCTGCCCATACATTTAAAGCCACTGTCACCCGTACTTATTCATTCAACGGGCCTGTCCGTATTGAGAAACCTTAAATCTTCACTCAATGGCTCCCACGCAATATACAAGACTTAATTTCTAAATCACAAGCTTGGCTAGAATGTTTTAAATAAAACATGTAGCATGAGAGCCATACAATTACTTAAATTGTGCCTGAGTAATACTGGCCTCGGAAATATACCCACTGCCCTTCCATTATTTAACATGCAGTATGTAAAATGGTAGGCCTGACATTATTCTTCCTTACATGTGTGACTGTGGGCTGGGGGTTAGGATGGGTCAGAGAAGACATTTTTAGAAATCATTAGACACTGAAGCAGTCCTTCTTACCATCCGTCCTCTGGTGCAATAGACATTTCCCACACTTTCTGTGCTGTCTGAGGCCCAGAAAACAAAACAAATCAAAACAAAAAAAGTCAGCTTACACAGTTAAATGAGTGTGTTGAGGCTTCTAAAGAGTAGGGATAACTTACCTAAGTCATTTTGGGTGTAATGTTTACTAAATGCCCACTGGATAGTGTCTTTAACAGCGTAGTGTAAAATATTTTCTCCGCTCTGCCCTCATCCTCATTTGTTAAACTTGAACCTTTCTACACTTAGCAGAAACTGACTCAGGTGGTGTTCAGGAATCTGTACCTCTGCCCTTGTGAGTTTTGCTGGGTCACACTTTTGAGACTCCCCACCCTGGAACATCATGCCATGTTAAAAGCGTAGGACTGGGAAAAATACCCATGAAGGGTCCTGTCATTGCTTGTGTGGTCTTTTTGACAGTGAATGTCCCAAACTCTGTATGAAGAGAAAAGAATGTGTGTGCTTACACCCAAAAATGGGTATTTTCCAAGGCTTCCTTAGAGTTGATTGCTTCTGCCTTTGGAAATTCACATAGGCAGTTTTCATCTGCTAAATCTGGTGTTTTGTCTATTCTTCATCCTCTACCACCAGACATATATCTTGAACACCTTGACTGTAAACATCTTCTGTAAAGAAGATGGTTCTGAATTCCAAGGCAAATTGAATTGAGTAGTTTCTTACCATGGCTACCACTATCCACTTAAAGCACAAATTCATTGTCTTAGAGTTCTTGGGTTAGAAGCGTTAAATGGATCTCACGAGGCTAAAGTCAAGGTGTCTACTTGGGAGGTAGTAGAGAATCTGTTTCCTTGTTGTTTCTTTGGTTGTTGTTTTCCAGCTAAAGGCTTCTTAGATTGGTGGATTTCTAGTTGTAAAGGAATTTAAATTCAGAACATGGCTGTTCTGGTAAGAGATCACATCCAAAGATCTTCTAGGTCTGTGTGATCTGGCTGGAATATAAACACATCTTTAATCCAGGAGACAGAGGCAAGCAGATCTGAATTCAAGGCCAGTTTGGTATAGAGCAAGTTTCAAATAAAGAAAAGCTTAGGTCCAGGACTTTAATTTCAAACAGTGAAGTAGAAGGGAGCACTCATGTTTGAAATTGATGTCTAATTGAATGGCAGAAAAAGTGACAAATCAGAGAATATTTGACAGAATAGGATCCTTCCAACTCTCAGGAGAAAGGAGTACAGAGAGGAAAGGGAAGACACTTAAGGAGCAATGAGGGGGCAGTTTTAATGTAATAGAGACTGTAATAGAGAGCCAGATTGCAAAGAGAGAGATAACTCAGGTGAAGACCAAATGAAGCAGAGAATCAGGAACCAAGAGATTAGAGCAGATTGCTGGCATTGGAGGCCAAGCAGAGCAATTCAGGGGCTGAGAGAGAAGCCAAATTGAGTAAGTCAGCTGAGAGCGGAGTTTGAGCCAGAACAGCTGAGTTGAACTAGCTTCTGAAAAAAGAAAGGGTGAGTTTAAGCAGTAATTCTCAGAGGCTGAAAACATTATCTAGGCCTATGTTAGATTGTATGGAGGCTAGAAGCTTCCAGGATTAGGCTTAGGTTAGCAGAGAGGCAATAAGCCTCCAAGACAACAATTGAAACAGGAGAATAGGAGTTCTTTTTACACCAAGCTCCTGTCTACCCTCCATTTCAGTAATATCTAGTCTAGTATGGATCACATTTGTATGTCTCTTGCCACTTCTTCCTGCCTTCCTTCCATCGTAAGGATGTGAAGAAGTCTTGTTGGGCCCATCGGGGTAATGGATTTCTCCCTATCTCAAGATCAGTTGATAACAACCTTAATCCACATTTATCTTAATCCTCTCTTGTTCCATGATATAACATGTTTGTAGGTTGTGGACATTATGGCAGAGACCTCTGGTAGGTCTCTGTAGTATTATGTTACATATTGAGCTCAAACTTACCAACTCTCACCAATAGTATTTTGTTAACTACTTGAATACACATGAACTATTTTAGAAAACATGAATTTACAAGGTTCTTTCTTCATCTTCATATTAAACTTTAAATATGGTTTAATAAACCTAAGCTGCTTTTTGGATAATCAGAGATTGTAGGAATTAGGTACATTTAGTGAACCCATTTCTCTTTCACATACTTAGTAGGATTTTAAATCTGTATTCATTGGTATTCATTGGCTGCCTTTCTGAGCAATGGCACAGGTTGTGTGCTTAGCACTTCTTAGATTTTTTTTTTTTTTATTAACTTCTCCTAAATAAAATTTTGGCATTATTGCTATTTATTTGGGTAAAACTACAGAAGCTCAGAAAAATGAAGCCATGTAGTTGTATTGTAAGTGAACTAAACAATGCTCCGTGTCATTATGTTGAACAAATACCTTTTTTCATTCTTTCAACTGAAATGCTTAATGAGAACACAGTGTTATTTACCAGTTGCCTGATTTCGTAAAGGAACAAATGTCTATCAGATAGTGGGCACAGGATAGCCTACTTAAAGATAGTGATCTCCCAAGTAGGGCACATTCTCGGAATTCTGCCACATGTGATATGCCACATGCCAATATGACTGAATTCTGCCATTCAGTCATATTCAGTTCTGGACATGCAGTCCTGAATTTGTTTGACATCTTAATTTTTACAGTATTTACAGACTATTTAGGAGAGAGAAAGCAGTGAAGATAGGATTTCATTGGTATATGCAGTGAACCCTAGGAAGTAAGTTTATGGTAATGAAGCAAGGTGTCCTTAGTAGAAGAAGCGGCACTCTTTCCAGGCTGAAGGCACAGCTGAAACCCCCAAAGCCACATGTGATAGTTAAAAAATGGCACAGCATTTGGAGTTACTCTGTTGCTATGCTTTTAGAAAAGACAGGATTTGGGTTGCATTTTTTTTTTAAAATTTATTTATTCATTCATTTGGGTAGGGCTGGGAGTGCCACAACATCTGTTTGGAGGTCAGAGAACAACTGTGGGAAGGACTCTGTCCTTTCCTTCCATCATGGGGGTTCCAGGGACTGAACTCAGATCATCATACTTGGCTGAACGCTCCTTTACCTGTTGAGACTTGGATTTTACTAATGTATTAAGCATTACCCTAGGTATCAAGGCAGAACATTGCTTGTGTTTTGCAATCACTTCACTCACTCTTTTCATGTGATAATAATAATTATCTGATAATAATTACTGATAATAATAATTACTGATAATAATCCACTTGCTAATCATATTTTGGGGTCGAGGCGCTGGAAGGGTTAGAATTGTGTGACACCAGAAGAGTAGTGCTCCCATGATGGATGGCATCAATGTCTTCTTGAAAAGAAGAACTCAAACCCACACCCAAGCTAGCATACTTGGCTACTATACAAAATCCTCTTCTGTTGTATGGCCAGAATTGGTTCATGAATCAGTTACTGACTCAAAAAGTAACAAATGAATTTACTTTCATTAAAGTCACCAACTTTAAGCTCTTCCTTGTTCACTAAAAATATACAAATGAGCCTTGGTGGGGATGTGTGTAAAAGAGTCAGGAAAGATTGGGTTAAAACAATGTCTTCTGGGCGGAGGGGACCCCTGTACTCCTGAAGCCATAGCGGCTAAGGTTGCCTGTATAGGATCCATACAAGGTCAAGCCAGTCAACCCTCCAGCTTGCGGGTACGGGAGGAGCATTCAGGAGCTATTATCAGATGCTGGCTGCTAGGAGAGGAGAATTCTTTAGGGTTTAGTCCGTTGTATGTTAACCTCAATCCAATGGATGGCCCCATATTTATGAGTATTTTGGGCAGCACAAATTGGACTCCATGGGCTAAAGAAAAAAAAAGTGTGTCTGAAGTTGGAAGGGGGTAGAGGGTGAGGAGTGGATTAAAAGGGACATGGATCCCGCCCACAGTATACCCAGTTGTTCCTGTTTCCAGGAACACCTTGGCTATTTCCTATAAAAAGTATTTGAGCTGCTTTGCAAACATGCTATAAAAATGTAAGAACAAGGAAGATGTATTTTAATACAGAAATTTCAATTGTAAATAAATGGCTAGGTGGTCTATGTGTGTAGGTGAGCATAGTAACGCCAGTAACTGGAAGTCTTGACTCAGGTGGAGATGTGGGTGAAGGTCACTCATGTATTTAGGATCATGAGACCACCTGTCCCACGTAAGCACTTTCTTTAGCTCAGACTCAAGTGGAAAAACTTTCCTCATCATCTGAATGCCCTCTCCCAAGTCTTTCCATAGAATTGAGAGAGTCCATATGGGAAATAGTGCATTGTAAAGGTAAT